TCATTCTAAAACATCTTGATGTTGTATCTAGACATCTCACATCTCTTTAACCAGATAGGCCTTAACATATGCATATGCACATTGTGGCCCCAATAGAAAACACACGTAACTCTGTGAATAATGATCATATCGAGACAGTACATCTAAGAGGTGCCATCTGGCCCTGTGACTATTGAGGTACAGTAGAGCAGAGCAGCGTGTTCATTGTGAGACAGGTATAAATCCTGTCCTTTATGGCCCTGCTCTAGCCTCTATGAGGTAATGGATTGGCTATGTGTGTCACTGTGGGTGTCTGAGTGTCAGCTGGTCCGCTGTGTGGCAGGCCATTGTGTCAAGCAGGTCAGCTGGGGCTTGGGGGCACGTGCAGCAACACTCCTCCCCCACTACACACACTCACGCAAAGAGATCACTCCCTTCAAACCCCACTCTCCGTGTCGCCACAAAACCCCCACCCACCCCAATCCTTCTCCAGTGACTGAAAACCTTAAATCATGGTGATCCTAGAAGGCCTGCGGGTCAGATGGATTCTTATAGTATGAAAAAATTATAATGTATGCACTCACTAACTGTAAGTCGCTCTGGATAAGAGCATCTGCTAAATGACTAATATGTAAAATTGTATAATATATATAAATTTCAATGATGTAGGCCTTGATGAAATTACTCAATTTTCCTAAATACAAGAAGAGCCTTTGATGGGTTTAGTGGAGACAGTTCACATACATTATCTTAAATATCTATGATAGTCAATGTAAAATGAGTGCAATAATCCACAGATTTCAGGAAATATTGCCCTACTGATCGTGGACTTCAGGAAACAGCAGAGGGAGTACCTGTCACGCCCTGGCTCTGGGGACGCTTGTATGTTGAGCCAGGGTGTGAGTGTTCTTTGTTTATTCTAGTTCATGTATATCTATGTTGGCCAGAGTGGTTCTCAATCAGAGGCAACGAGTGTCAGCTGTTGCTGGTTGTCTCTGATTGGGAACCATATTTAGACAGGCTGTTTTCCCACAGTGTTTGTGGGATCTGGTTCCTGTGTAGGTTTGTACCTTTGGACGTCACGTATCGATTTGTTGTTTTGTTCGTGTAATCATTTAATAAATAAGTATGTTCACCTTCCACGCTGCGCATTGGTCCTCCTCCTTCAGCGAACGTGAGAGTACCCCCCTATCCACTTCAACGAGACAGCAGTGGAGAAGGTGGAACGTTTTAAGTTCCTCGGCGTACATATCACTGACAAACTGAAATGGTCCACCCACACAGACAGTGTGGTGAAGAAGGCGCAACAGCGTCTCTTCAACCTCAGGAGGCTGAAGAAATTTGGCTTGTCCCCTAAAACCCTCACAAACTTTTACAGATGCACAATTGAGAGTATCCTGTCGGGCTGTATCACCGCCTGGTACGGCAACTGCACTGCCCACAACCGCAGGGCTATCCAGAGGGTGGTGCGGTCTGCACAACGCATCACCGGGGGCAAACTACCTGCCCTTCAGGACACCTACAGCACCCGAATGCACAGGAAGGCCAAAAGATAATCAAGGACAACTACCATTCGAGCCACTGCCTGTTCACCCCGCTATCATCCAGAAGGCGAGGTCAGTACAGGTGCATCAAAGCTGGGTCGAGAGACTGAAAAACAGCTTCTATCTCAAGGCCATCAGACTGTTAAACAGCCATCACTAGCACAGAGAGGCTGCTGCCTACATACAGACTTGAAAATCACTGGCCACTTTAATAAATGGAACACTAGTCACTTTAATAATGCCACTTTAATAATGTTTACATATCTTGCATTATCCATCTCATATGTATATACTGTATTCTATACAATCTATTGCATCTCAGCTGATGCCACTCTGATAATGACATTTCTCATCCATATATTTATATATTCTTATTCCATTCCTTTACTTAGATTTGTGTGTATTAGGTTTTTGTTGTGGAGCTGTCAGATATTACTTGCTAGATATTACTTCACTGTCAGAACTAGAAGCACAAGCATTTCGCTACACTCGCAATAACATCTGCTAACCATGTGTATGTGAAAAATACATTTGATTTGATTTACTGCTAATGCAGTTGTGGCTTTTTGTTCCTCAGGAGTTGACTCTCAACAAATTGATTTATTTGCAGAGCACTTGGAATGGATATCCTTAAAATCCATAATGGTCCATCTGTGAACATTGTGAAAAATATTCCTTTGATCAACATCCTATCATGGAAAAGTTTATCAATTAAGGTTTTTATGTTAAAAGGTGGAAACATTTAGGCTGCAACAAGGGCTTACTTCTACCGAGGCTGAGAACGTGGCCGAGCTGAAACTGAGATAGCAGCACTGAGTGTAACTCAAAGCTGCTCAAAGCCCTCAGCAGTAAATCACTACTACCAGTGGTGTAAAGTACTTAAGTAAAAATACTTTCAAGTACTACTTAATTCGTTTTTTTGGGTATCTGTACTTTACTATTTATATTTTTGACAACTTTTACTTCACATTTTCCCTGACACCCAAAAGTACTTAGCAGGACAGAAAAATGCTCCAATTCACGCACTTATCAATAGACCATCCCTGGTCATCCCTACTGTCTCTGATCTGGTGGACTCACTAAACACACATGCTTCATTTATAAATAATGTCAGAGTGTTGGAGATAGCCCCTGGCTGTCATTCAATTTAAAAAACAAGAAAACGGTGCTGTCTGGTCTGCTTAATATAAGGAATTTGAAATGATTTATACTTTTACTTTTAAAACGTAAGTATATTTGAGCAATATTTACTTTTGATACTTAATTATATTTCAAAACAAATACTTTTATACTTTTACTCAAGTAGTATTTTACTGGGTGACTTTCATTTTTGTCATTTTCTATTAAGGTATCTTTAATTTTACTCAAGTATGACTATTGGGTACTTTTTCCACCACTGACTACCACTGCACCATTTACCCCTTATTCTAAAGAGTAGCCATTTGTTTAACACTCAAATATGGTGTTTGCTGTTTAAGAGGCATACATCAACTACCAGACAAGAGTCCACACAAAGACTGGCACACTTGTGGAGACAAAGAGAAAGAGGGGTTCTTTCTCTTCAGCCAGAGAGGTGTTTGTTCAGAGTGGGTGCAGGGCAGTGTGGGAGGAACAGAGAGGGGAGGAACAGAGAGGGGAGGGGAGGTTCTTTTTATTTATTTTATTTATTTAACCTTTATTTAACTAGGCAAGTCAGTTAAGAACAAATTCTTATTTACAATGACAGCCTACACTGGCAAAACCCAGACGGCGCTGGGCCAATTGTGCGCTGCCCTATGGGACTCCCAATCACGGCCGGTTGTGATACAGCCGGAATCGAAACAGGGGGTCTGTAGTGACGCCTCAAGCACTAAGATGCAGTGCCTTAGACCGCTGCGCCACTCGTCAGTTACACAGTCAGTTGATGGAGAAAAGGGGCAGAGGGAGTTTGGAGGTGTAAAGAATCCATTGTGAGGAAAGGAGTTAATCACTTGAGCGGCGTGTGCCGGTGTAAAAGGAGTACATGTTGTACACCCCATCCCCTGGGGGGCTTCCAAGGTCCCAGCTCCCTCCTAGCTGAATTTACATGTCAGTTATGCAAAGCCTCTGAATAGAGTAAAGGAAGACCCACCCCCTCAGAATGATACCCTCTTGGCTGGTGATAGTGGTGATGTGTTCACTGCATGACTGGTTCATTCAGACACACACACACACACAGCTACGTGGTATTTCCAGGACTGGACCGATTGCTGCGCGTTAGTCTGCTAGATGGATGGTTTTCCTTGGCAGTAAGTCAATGTGAATATTTTCTAGTCTTGTGATGAATTCTGGTGGTGAATTCTAGAATTTGAGAGGGATTGTGAGAGAATTTGTTGAGATACATCCACCAGACAGACAGATAGGCAGGGGGGAGGGAAAATAACAATGTCAAAGATTGTTTATATGTGGCATCTGGCATTTGTTCTGTACTTTAACAGGTATAAATCTAAATAATTATGATCTATTATTTGAGCATTGTAAGGGAACCATGCCAAACAGTATAAACATGTAGAATGTATCCTCATCCTGAATGAAGCTAAATATCAGTATTTTTCTGACATGCTGTATTGAATAGAGGCCAAGTGGCTGTATTCTCTTTTGTCCATTGTGATTCTAGTCCCTGTCCACATAGTTATTATTGCATTTTTCATGAAAACATAAGATGAGCAGAAGAGGTGCATGTTTTGTCAATCTTTTCATCTCCCCCTGAGAGACAAACAGTGCAACACTAACACTCCTTATTCATTCAAAACAACTAGACTTGCACAATGCTCTAACCATGAAGCACATTAACAGTGACAGCTATGCATGTCTTTCAGGCCAGCCACACCGTGGAAATAATAATTTGTAACAGATTAGCCGTCAGCTACGTACTACTTAATGGGACTATTATAGTTGGCCCGTTGCACCATGCTTTTGTTCCTGTGGACATTATGCTTAAAGAAAGGACACCAGGTGGTTGGGGAGCCCAAAGGCAATATCATTCACTTCGGAGACCTCTGCTTATCAGTAACTTATTAGAGAATTGAATAGGTCTGTTCCCTAGAGGGTTAGAGATCATGGTTAGCAACATCTGGTACGTTGTATCACCCAGGGCAGGGCAGGGCGAGGCAGGGCAGTGCAGGGCATGAGTGAGGAAGAGAGGGTACGTCTATAGCAGGAGTAGGCAACCCTGGTCCTGGAGTGCCGCAGGCACTTCATGTTTTTTATTTAACCGACCTGGAAGACCAGGTGTGTTAAATTTAGGCAATCATTGAACTGATCGATTAGCTGTTGGTCAGGTGTGGTGCCTTGTTGGAACAAAATCCTGCAGTACCTGTGGCACTCCAGGAACAGGGTTGCCTACCCCTGGTCTACAGTATGGTTGTTGCAGAAAATAAATGCCTTTATAGAACAAAGTTACATTAAAAAAATACAACAATATCAAAACATCGAAATTGAAATCGAAATTTCTTCCCCGCAGATGGAAACATTGACAATATCGCCCTGGGGTCATGAGTCTAACCCCCACTCCCAGTACCTCTTCAACAGCATACGTTAAAGCTGCCAGAACATCCAATCTGCCCTCACCTATGCCCAGAGACTATGGGAAGTGTCAGCAGTTTCATCTCAGGTCACAGTCTCCACAGCAAGCACTGTCAGGCCACGGAGTACAAACTAAAGAAGGCAGGCCATCACCGGAAAACAGGCCGGAGCCTGGATGGCCTACTGAAGTACAGCTTTGCACAGGGGTCTTCCAACCACACCACTAAAGGCATCTCTCAGGCAGGCAGGAGTGAGGACTTCTTTTACTTAAAGGTGAGCCACAAGCCGCGGATGACTCATCGCAGAGGTGTCCCAACAGAAGACCATGTAGGAGAGGGACATTCTACTGATATGGAACCAGACAGTAGAGTGACACCTAAACTGTTGCCTATGTCAGGGAAACTGGAGAAGGTGAGTCTCTGACTTGCTCAACATACTTTTGAACATGCCTGTGTTGTATAATTAATAACCAGTAAGACAACTTCAAACACAAGATCAGACAAGCACAGTAGGTACTGTCGCAAACAACCACATTACCTCTGTTGAAACACCAAGCCTTGTGTTGTCCAGTCTTTTTTTAACCATCTCCAAGGTTGATGACTAAAGCCACAATTATGCGTTTGCTTTTAGCCTAACTGCAGCAGCATGTAACCACACTCAAAGTCATAGACATAGCTAGATGCAAGGACTGACAGTCCAAGAGATTGAAATGATCATTTTAAACATTTTGAAACTATACCCTATTTGTTAACAAAGACTAAAATTAAAGCAAAAACAAACAATGGAGTAAAATAGCCTTATATAACCTTATGATTGGCCACTCATGAAGGCATTATAAGTTATATTCTGCAAGAATGAATGGGTAGGCTATATGTTATTAATTAAAATCACAGAAAATATTGTTGATTGCAATGCCTTGATCTTTTGTAAGATGTCATCAGTGATGTTCTTATGCAAACCCTGCTCTCTGAATAGGCATTTCTGAACAGGTATAAATCTAAATAATGAATAGCTATTATTTGAGCATCTTAAGGGAACCATGCCAAACAGTATGAAGTCACTGGACATACTTCCATTCATTTTTTAAAACTGGTACCGGTTACCTTCAGATGAGTCCTGTGACACTCATGTCCGTGAGAGTCTCCCCTTTCCATAGAGTGGTCATAATAGTTTTGTAGGTCAAACCGCTCCGAATCTATAGACGTTTTTGTGAGAAGACCGATTTTTGGGATGTCTCATGGTCTGACAAACAGCGCTCTAGCTCTGTCACCTTTCACCGCAGATGCGGAAGTGCGACAGATATCTCTAGCTTAAACTGACAGATGTTATGGGGATTTTTTAAATTATGTTACTTAAATTGACGCACTGGTTCGTCAATCGACTCTAAGGGATTAATATCACAGAGTAGGGCTTTTCATATTTTCTCAGACAGTACAACAGGGTGGAGGAGGAGGAGGTTGGGTATAACTGGTGGTGTTTCCAGACAGCACAGACAGGAATATCTGATGTTATAAATCTCTCATGACAGTTTCATGTATTCTGTATATTCTGACATTGCACTTTTACATGTACAAATCTCACATTTCTGGGTGGTTATAATCGGTTCTCCTCAGCACTATATGATGGATTAGTCATTGGCAACATTATTTGCTTACATGATCATCTCCATTGGTTCTCCAAACCAACATGTTCTCTGATCGACTTCATTTGTTCCATCTCCTTCCTCTACCTCTAGAATATGGAGAAGGCTTTGATCCGGCCCACAGCCTTCAAGCCAGTCATCCCAAGGAGCACCTCTTCCACAGAGACTCACAACAACCTCACCCACCTCCTTAGTCCCCCAGAGAGGATCAGAGACTCCCAGGAGCCCAAACAGGACACATTTTCAGGGACCCTATCAGACTCTGGGCAGGATTCAATGTCCAGCCTGCCTACTCACAGCACCAGTGGGAGCCACAGTGCTTCCACAGGCCCATTGACTCAGTGTGCAGGAGGCTCAGTCCATGGCATGACCCATCCCCAGCAGCCCCCCCTCTCTACATGGACCAATGGGAATGGCATTAGTGCCAGTGCCAGGGTTGCAGCTATAAGCAATGGAGGGGCAGCGAAGGCTAACAGGGACACCGTCTCCCTCCCCTCACCTCAGAAGCCTAGCCCTCTCTTGGAGGAGATGGGGGGCTGTAATCGCTCGCCCATCTCCACAGATGAGTCCTTCATTGAGCTGCTGGAGCAGAGGCTGCTGGAGAGTGAGACAGAGCTGCAGGAGCTGCAGGTGAGCTTTGAGGAGAAAGAGGTGGACACGTGCCAGCTGTTTGAGGAGAGGCAGAGGTATTGTGTTGAGGAGATGGAAGGCCTGAAGCAGAGGTGCTCCACCAAGCTCAGGCAGGTCTCCCAGAGGGCTGTAAGGAACCACCAGGCCTTGCAGCTCAAGGTCAGCCAGCTGCAGCAGGACAACCAGAGGCTCCAGGACGAGCTGGTCCAGATGACCCAGGAGAAGGACCTGATAGAGGTCAAACTGATGTCGTTTGAGACGGAGAAGAACCAGCTAGAGCCCACCTTAGAGGAGACCCAGTGGGAGGTAAGTGGCCAGCATGTGTCATGAGCCAGGGGTTTTTACCATATGGTCTTACCATGAAAGACTCAGGGCTAGTTGTAGACTGTGACTAGGGCTCAAAGTATTTCCTGGTCAGGTCACTAGGAAAAACTAGTTATAGCTACTGAACACATTGCACAGGCCAGGGTGTATTGGACAAAAGCAACCACTACTTCAACAAGGCTTTTACGCTTTACATTTATTATTAGGTATGCCAAAAGGCTGGGGAGATCTCCCTGCTGAAGCATCAGCTCAGGGACTCCCAGGCTGGTGTCACTCACAAGCTGAATGACATCGTCAGCCTCAAGGCCTCGCTGAAGGAGACCCGGGCCAAAATGGAGGCACTGGAAAAGCAGAACAAATTGCAAGAGGACAAGATACGCTCTCGCAGTGTGGATGTCGAGGTACAACGTCTATTTCTTAAAAGAAAATCAGAGGAAGTATGATATGCAAACAGAGCAGATTTCTTTACTAATGTTCAGCCGCTGCACTAGTGGTGTGCCAATGTAAATTGCATTTAAGCGTGAGTGACAATGCTAAACCTTTGCCATTATCTACTTGGCCTCCATGTTCAATAGCAAAGTGCATTTGATAATGACACAATTCATCTATTCCACCCCAGGTTATGCCAAAATGAGCTCCAGCGCAAGAAGAACGAGGCTGATCTACTAAGAGCAAAGGTGGGCATACTGGAGACAGATATCAAGGGAATGAAAAAGGACCTGGCCCTGGCAAAAAAAGAACAGAGGCAGCACCTGGAGGCCCAGGCCCAGGAGAGGTCAGACCAGAGTGGGGGCACTGGAGGGAGCATGAGCACTGACTCCCTCCAGAGAGAGGTGGCGAAACTGAAAGTGGAGCTCAGGGAAGAGAGAGAGACTCAGGAGAGGCGGTCGAACAGATTTGAGCACGAGAGACAGACGTGGAACAGGGAGAAGGGCAGAGTCATCAAGTACCAGAAGCAGCTTCAGCTCAACTATCTGCAGATGCACAAGAAGAACCAAGACCTGAAGGGGATCCTGCAGGAGCTCACAGCAGAGCTGGAGAGTCGGCCGGAGCTTGACGTGGACATCCACAGCTCAGGGTTACACTATGAGGATATTATCGCCACAGAAATTTGAGGTAGAAACCCACAGAGAAAAGTAATAATGATGCTCAAATGTTCTAACAGGGTTATTAAACAGTCATATGAAACACATAATTTATTATATCTGGCCAAAAAACAGATGAGCTATTGCTGCCTTGGAAGGGGCAGTATTTTAATGGTAATCAAGTTGGCTAACATACTGCTGCAGGATATGAGAAAATTATGGTCAGGTCTGACTATTTTTTATAAAAATCCTTCATTCTCTGAGACTGTGTAAAGCAGGCTTTAACGGGCCAATCCAGAGATCAAACAACAACAATTAACAAAACAGCTGCGGGATGGGGCTTGAGCTATGGATGCAAGGACTGATCATCCATCAGATCAAAATGATAGTTTAAACCGTGTTTTGAAGCTATACAGTGTTTGTTTACATTGGCTTTGTTTACAATCATTTTAGGTTCTGATGGGGTACGACAGTTGAACTAAGCTCATGAAGCATTTATGAGTTATATTCTTTAAGATTCAATGGCTATATCATGAATTTAGTCCAAAAATGGATGTAGCAACTCCATATTGGCCCTTTATGCTTTTGTTATCCATAAGTCTGGTTTCCCGGAAACAGATAAAAAATATTTTCGATGAACATTCTCCATTGAGCTTGCTTTTTAGTCCAGGACTAGGCTTAATCTGTGTCCAGGAAACCACCCCATAATGTTCAATTGACAGTAGCCTAATAAGCCTACGAAATGGTTATTCCTCTTGAGAAGTTTCCCAGCATTGTACTAGATTTCTGCATGTGTCAAGTCCTACATAGGATGTTGCAAGTCTCCACAACATCCACTGAGACACAGCAATATGATGTGATGTATTTCCATTGAATCTTTTTGATCACGATCACTACTGTGGCCAGAGATATTGCACAGAGAATGAGGCAGGAGGCTGCCCTCATCAGCACCAACACAGATACTGGCATCTGCACATGTATATGGGAGTTCACATATCTCTCCTGCAACATGATACAGTAGCTGCATCGCTTCACACAGTCTTTGTTTTTGTCGGAAGTTGCCCCGCTCTTTGTGGTAACCATATACTGTAGCCGAGTCTACCTTTAAGTGTCAAAGCACTGGATGTATATTTTGTGAATTATCATTAATATTATTTATTGATATAAAGGATACAAAAGTTCAATACATTGTACTGATTAGTGTTGAAAGGAACTAATTAAACTGAGATGATGAAGAATGTATATCGATGCACTTCCATTTTAAGAGGGGTTAGGAGAACATGATTGTCAAAGTGCATCCCACACTACACTGAGAATGTCTCACTGGTACAGATTTCTCAAAGATGTAAAACTTAGTTTTGGAGCTGATCACTTGAAAACAAATACTTTCTGAGAATGTCTAACATGTACTGTATCTATTGGTATATTTATGATACATACACAGATACATGTTTTTAAAATCTGACAATAAATGATGTACAGGTACACTACAAAATAAACAGTGTGGTTTTTCATAACATCTCTATCACTGTAAAATGATTTGGCTACTTGACTTGATACATTTAACATGTTATCTTCCTCTTATTATTTAATCCCAGCCTTTTGTGTTTGCATTGCGCTTCTGGCACCTTCTGCTATCACATGGTTGTTTTTCAATCCATTTTTCCAACATGACACCGTAAATGTTAGAAAAAGGAACATAGGTTTTCTCAGACCTATAGAAGCAGTCCAGCCTGTGTCAGTAATTGGACAGCAGTTAAGCACAGGAGATAGTATGATAATGGTGCCTTATCCTGCTGTGATTCTGATGGCCGGCCAACATTCAAGCACAAAGAGGTTTGAATAAATTAGTAGGGGGAGGCGCATGTGCAACATACAAAAGAGGGGCACTGGCCATAGAACAACTAGCTGTTTTGCAGATGTATAATAACCAAGTGAAATTGACCAGGTCCACGGCTAGCTCAGTGTTGACTCTAGTCGTCCAGACCAATCCGTTTGTTCATTGATGGGCATTATGGGCTCTATTTCATTCGTATTGCAGAAGTTCAGTGTTACAGTGTGATTGAAATTTAAAGGCAATGTTGTGTGTGAGCAATCATCTCATTTATCGCCTTACCTTCCTGGCAGAACTCAGTACCTAACCTGGTTGCTGCTGCCATCTAGGGGTGGGGTGTGGAAGTGGAAAATGGACTGAATAACTGCCCTCGCATAGTTTCTCCTTATCATAACAATATGGATTCACCAAATGTTTACATTTGAGTAATTTAGCAGACGCTCTTATCCGGAGTGATTTACATTAGTGCATTAATCTTAAAATAGCTAGGTACATTTTCGCTCAACAAAGTCAGTGCTAGTAAAACATGTTTTATTTAAAAGATATATATTTCCAGAATTCTATAGTAGGAATTGTTGATATGTTGTCAATTTTATATTCTGTATTTACTAAATATATCTTGAAACTAACAATATAGTTGTTTTCCACTGACATCGTAAAAGCTAAATGACAATATCATTCTTACAACAATATTGGGAGTATTATTGTAAGGTATTCTGAGTGAAGTGCAGTTTTGCTGAGGTAAAATGTTGTTCTATAAGTGACAATATCTGAATGATAATTAAGGTAGAATGTTGTATTTTTATTAGCTTGCCCAGCTTGCACATTTTATTAGCTTGCTGCAATATGCATAATCTGTAACTCAATAGTAAACATTGTAATTGGGGATTAAGTCCCACTGGGTCTAGAATACACTAACATATTAAGATTGTCATACCAAGGATCATTTAGATATTTGATTTGGAATTTTAGGACCCCTTTAGTTTTTTTAAACGTTTTTTGATGAAACATTGAATTTGGCCTTTCTGCTGTTAGCATTGAATAACAGATTCATACATGGAAAAACAGATAGTCAAAAATAAATCAAAAGGAAGTTTGTTTTAAAGTGTTTGTCCTATATCTGAGCGATATAAGAAAGATCAGGATTTTTATTTATGTTTTTTTTTTTTTACACATATTTAAAAACACATTTGGGCACTAAACTACTTCCATATAGCCTGCCATTTTTTAACTGGTACAGGGCTACCTTCAGATGAGTCTTGTGAGGTTTGTGGGCATCCTAGAGCAAAACAACCGATATGCACATGTTCCATAGAGGGGTCACATTAGTTTGTAGGCCAAACCGTGTGGACACTACAGACGTTTTCATGAGAAGACCGATTTTTGGGATGTCTCATGGTCTGACAAACACCTCTGTAGCTCAGCCACCTTTTACTGTAGTTGCGGAAGGCCGCCATTGGCGGATGCGGTGGATTGGGACGCATCTAATGCAAAAAATAACATATCTCTAGTTTAAATTGACCGATTTTATTGGGGATTTTTCTTATTATAATAATTACATTTTTGTGGCACATCTACTTTATGGGTTTTAAACCCTGTGTACTTAGTGGCCTGTAGTTTGTAAATCCAGAAGCTTTCCCTATGGTTCAGTTGTTTAAGCCGGTCACCTTTTCTAATTGAGGCTGGACTATGATGAATACCCATAGTTTGTAGAGAGGTAGGATTGATTTGGTGTAGGGACTTCTAGTGAGTGGTTCGCCATGTAGTCCTTATCACCTACATGTATGGGGTATTTATGTTCAGCCAAGCGATCCTGGAGATGTCTATTTGTCCATCTAATGTAGAACATGTGGACATGTGCACAGTGGACATCCCAGTCTGTAGATGACATGGGTGGTTTTACAGTTAATATGAAATATTTGATTTGATATTATGTTAGAGGCTTTGTCAACAAAATAATTTTTTGTAGCCTACAATATTCCTGCAACAAAGAACCTCTTGTCTAAAAAGGTAATTTTGGATGGATGGATTTCTGTGGATGGATTTCTGTGGATGGATTTTACATATTACTTGACATGGACAATGCACATTGATCAACATTTCTGTAAATATGCCAGATCTAGCCAGCTAGATAGTTGTAGTCCCTGGGTAGGTAGATAAAACATTTAAAAAAGCATAATAAACATTTAATAAACATTGATTCTACAGCTGCACTGCAGACCACAACCTATACACTGTGCAAACAGAAGATGGCACTACTAAGCCAACAAAGGTCCGCTTGTCTGAAAAGTTCATATGGACATTATGATTCTACAGCAGCACTCTCCAGATCACTGCTTACCCTACATATACCACAGGAGGCTGCTGAGGGGAGGACGGCTCATAGTAATGGCTGGAATGGAGTGAATGTAATTGTATCCAACACATTGAAACCAGGTGTTTGATGTGTTTGATACCATTGCATTTATACCGTTCCAGCGATTACAATGAGCCCGTCCTCCCCAATTAAGGTACCACTGGCCACCTGTGATATATACCCTGAGCAAACAGAAAATGGCACTGCTCATATGCATGGAATCTGTCTTTTTGTATGAAACTACAGGAGGCAAAGCCATTACCTGCACTTCTATTGTACATATATACTGAACAAAAATATAAACGCAACATGCAACAATTTCAAAGATTTTACTGAGTTACGATTCATATAAGGAAATCAGTCAATTGAAATAAATTCATTAAGCCCTAATCTATGGATTTCACATGACTGGGAATACAGATATGCATCTGTTGGCCAAAGATACCTTTAAAAAAAAAAGTAGGGGCATGGATCAGAAAACCAGTCAGTATCTGGTGTGACCACCATTTGCCTCATGCAGCGCGGCATCTCCTTCGCATAGAGTTGATCAGGCTGTTGATTGTGGCCCGTGGAATGTTGTCCCACTCCTCTTCAAAGGCTATGCGAAGTTGCTGGATTTTGGCTGGAACTGGAACACGCTGTCGTACACGTCAATCCAGAGCATCCCAAACATGCTCAATGTGTGACATGTCTGGTGATTATGCAGGCCATGGAATAATTGGGACATTTTCAGCTTCAAGGCATTGTGTACAGATCCTTGCAACATGGGGCCGTGCATTATCATGCTGAAAAATGAGGTGATGGCGGCGGGTGAATGGCACGACAATGGGCCTCAGGATC